ATTCATGTTAAAAACACTGAACAAAATGGGTATGGAAGAAACTTACCTCAACATTATAAAGGATATATACAGCAAACCCAAAGTCAACATCATACTGAATGGAGAATAACTGAAAGCATTTCCTCTAAAATCAGGAACAAGAATGTTCACACTTACCACTCCTATTCAATATAGTTCTCGAAACTCTAGCCAGAGCAATCAGCAAGAGAAGAAAATTAAAGGGATACAAATAGGAAAAAAGAAGTCAAAATATCTGTTTGTTCATGACATGATCCTATATGTAAAAGACCCCCAAAAAAACCCACCAGAAGACATCTAGATATGATAAACAAATAGAATGGAAGAAAATCTTTGCCAGCTACTCCTTCAACAGGTGATTAATATCCAGTAGCAGCATATGAGATCAACATACAAAAATGAATAGCTTTCCTATACTCCAATAATGAGTCTGCTGAGAAGGAAATCAGGAAAACTATCCTGTTCATTATAACATCAAAAAAAATATTTGGGAATAAATCTAACTAAGGAGGTAAAAGACCCCTAACAAAGAAAACTATGTAACACTGAAGAAAGAAATTGAAGAAGACCTTAGAAGATTAAAAGACCTCCAATGTTCTTAGATAGGCAGAATTAATAGTGTCAAAATGATCATATTAACAAAAGCAATATACAGATTCAATACAATCTCCATCAACATATCAATGAAATGCTTCACAGAACTAGGGAAAAACAGTCCAAAATTTCATATGGAAGACTAAAAGACCCAGAATAGCCAAATTAATACTGAGAAAGAAGAGTGATACTGGAGGCATCACAATACCTGATCTCAAATTATACTACAGAGTTATAATAACAAAAGTAGCATGTCACTGGCATCAAAACAGACACATAGACCGATAGAAGACAGAGACAACCTACATGTTATCTGATACTTGACAAATGTGCCAAAAACATATGCTGTAGAAAAGAACCTTTTTTAACAAACGATGCTGGGAAAACTGGATATCCATACATAGAAGAATGAAACTTGACTTTTTAAACCATATTAAGTGGATCTAGGAATTAGACCAAATACTCTACAACTGTTAAAAGAAAACAGGCTCAATACTCTAACATATTGGCACTGTACATATTGACATTGTCCTTAAAAAGACACCTAAATCCTGAGAAATAAAACCAAGAATCAAAAAGTGGGATGGCATTAAATTTAAAAGCTTCTGCACAACAAAAGAAAGAAGGCTGTGAAGAAAAAGCTAATAGAATGGAAGAAAATCTTTGCCAGCTACTCCTTCAACAGGTGATTAATATCCAGAATCTTTTGTATAAAAACATAACACCAAAAAAATTAACAAATGGGTAAAAGAACTAAACACAGATTTCTCAAAAGGAGAAATACAAATGGTCAACAAGTATATGGGGGAAAAAACGTCTAACATCCCTCGTAATCAGAGAAATGCAAATCGAAACCACATTGAGATATTGTCTCACTCCAGTTACAATGACAATCTTCAAGAATACAAATAATAATAAATGCTGACTATGATGGGGGCAAGGTATGTTCACAAATTGTTGGTGGAACTGCAAATTAGCACAACCACTTTGGAAAGTAGTATGGAGATTCCTCAAAAGTCTAAGAATGGAACCCCCATATGATACAGCTATCCCACTCCTTGGTATTCACTCAAAAGAACCAAAGTCAGCATACTACAGTGTGAAAGCACTTCAATATTTATAGCAGTGCAATTCAGAATAGCCAAGTTTTGGAATCAGCCCAGATGGTCATCAACAGATGAATGAAGAAAATGTGATACACACAAACACAAACACATACACACACAATGGCGTTTTAGTCATAGATAAGAATGAAATTATGGCATTTGCTGATAAAATGGATGGAAATGGACAACACGATGCTAAGTGAAATAAGCCAAACTCAGAAAGTCAAGGGCCGAATGTTTTCTCTCATATGCAGACACTACAGCAAAATAAGCGGGGAAAGGTGGTGGGGTAATCCAATGAAAACAGAAGAGAGATCAGTGGAGTAAAGGAAGGGAATAGAGGAAAGAGAAGAGGGATGGGAAAAGGGAGAAACTACAGAATGAAATTGACCAAATAATGCTATGTACCTGTATGAATATACCACAACAAATTTCACATTTATGTATATCTATAAAGCACCAATTAAAAAAAAACAGTAACTAAATAGAAGGAGGAAGATCAGTAAAGTGGATGAAGGGGAACAGGCAGAGGAAAGAGGAAAAGGAAAGAGGAAGTAGGGGGGACTGAAATGAAGCAAATTATATTTTATGTGTGTATGATTTTTCCAAAATGAATCCTATTGAGTATCATACACTAATAAAAACATTTTTAAAAATAAAAGACACATATATTATGGCACTCAGGGGGAAAAAAGTCATATGAGCAGTAAGGGTTACTGTATGACCACATAGAGGAGGAAAAAACTCAACTTTTATGGATACATTATGGATAGGATGGTTTGTCATACAGGTTCAGAAATGGAAAGCAGCTGTGAGGGGTAACGAGAGGAAAAACTTTCCCAAATGTTGAAGCTTTGAATTCTGCACACACATAGAGATCTGCTTTGTGTGGAACTCCACAAATTCCTTAAAGCGAAGAGTTATACAAGTCAGCTTTGTATTCTTCATTATCTACTCTTAACAGACAATTCTCTTAGTTTTAAGATAACGTAAAATTTAGTCAAGGTTATTATGCAAAAAAAGGAATTTATGATAAGGATACAGTGATTCTTTTATAAAAATTCAAGGACAGGAATAAATACAGGTCTAAGGAAATTCTAAAACTGGAGACTTTTCCCATATCATCTTTGTACCTCCCTGAATATACAATTTGCTTTCTCTCTTCTTTATACATTGATATTTTCTACATCTCCAGGAAAAATGTATGTGAAAAATGGCCTCTATCATAGATGGATGAAGACACCACACACAATACATAAATAAAGCACCGATTTTTAAAAAATACATAAATAAAGCACATAATACATAAATAAAGCACCAATTTAAAAAACAGTAACTAAATAGAAGGAAGATCAGTAAAGTGGATGAAGGGGAACAGGAGGAGGGGAACACACACACACACACATTATTGATCCAACCAACTTGATAGAGTCATTCTTTATTCAGAATGGTTGCTAGGGGCTCAGCCTTGACCCAGATAACTAGGTCATTGTGAGATTAAAAAAATAAATAAACAATAATTCTCATTAATTCTCCCCTGAAAAATCTGAATCTTCTTAGGCATATCTGTTTTTATTTATTATATAGTTCTGTCGACAATCCATCCTTCTTTAAAACTTACCTTTATCTTTTCTTCTCCATTCTGACTCTATTATTTGCCAAAATGATAGTTCAAAAGATATATATTTTACCGTGATTAAATTCACATTTCTTTACCAGTGAGGATAAACTTTTTCTCATGACATAGGGCTATCAGTATTTTTGCTCTTTTGGATTGTAGGTACTGAATTGTGTCCTTTCCCAAAATTCACATGCTGAAGTGTCAACCCCAATACTGTATTTAGAGACAAAGCCTTTACAGAAGTAAGTAATGTCATAAAACAGGCAAGGTCATTTGAAGGCAGATGTTTGCAAACCAAAGTGAAAGATCTCCGAAGAAACCAAACCTGCTGATATAATGACCTTGGACTTCTATCCTCCAGAATTGTAAGAAAATAAATTTGTGTTGTGTAAGCTTCAAAGTCAGTCTGTGGTATCATCTTTGACTTTGTCATGTCAGCCCAAACATATTAGCAGTTTACCTCTGTATTTCTTTTTTTTTTTTCTTTAGATTTGTTTCTTCAGGTAATAGCACTCTAATTTTAAGGCCTTAGCCTTTCATACATGATGAATGCTACAAATATTTTTCCAATTTATTTCCCTTTCTCCTTCAACTTCTTCTTTTTGGCTTTACTTAGTCATTTTAAAATTTGCAAGCCAAATTTTTTAGACTTTTCTTTTATTGCTGCTGCATTTGAAATTATGCTTGAGATCGCCCTTCTCATCCTCAGAATTATATTTATCTACATGTTTTTCCAGTTCTATTTTTTTCCTTTTTGGTCACTCAAATGTTATTTTCAGTGTATAATGTAAGATATAGCTCAATGTTTTAACATAGCTAACCAATTCCCTATATCATTTACTCAATCATTTTCCACTGATTTGAAATCTTTTAGCATAGCGTAAATATACTTCAAACTTCTGTTGCTTTTTGCTTATAATGATCATTCATTCAATAATTCATTTTGGAGACTATATTCTCCCACAATCACCATTGGGGAAAACGAATTTTCTAAGTTTAAGAAAAATCTTGGATGTCTTCAAGTGTGGGAAAAAAAAAAAAGATTTTTCTTTTTTCTTTTTTTTTTTTTTTTTGGATTAGGGAAAGCTTTTAAAGTGAGTTTTAAGTTTTTCATCATATGTTTTCATCTAATAAAAATATTTTATCAAATGAAGGGCAGGTACCATCGGATTTGTCAAATTATCATACTAATAAAAGAAAAATGATAAACTACATGAGGACTGTTATTTGGCTTTTTCAGATTCCTTTAAGAGAGCGTTCTAATCTTTTATTATCACTATTATTATATATTATTAACACCCCCCCCCCTCCCATTCTCTTGATAAAATTTCAACAGTAATGAAGGGTGAGTCACAAGACTGTTTTCACAATGATTACTGCTTAGTGGTAAGAAAAGGACCCACCCAATGGTGGGGCCTTGGAAGAAGGGGAAATTCTTCCAAGAATTTCCAACAGAAACACGTGCGCAGTCCCGCAAAGCCCGTTCCCCACTTCCACCACTCCCCCCCACCCCGGGAGCGGAAGGCTGAGGACGCCGAAGTTGTGTGGAAAGGCGGAGCTAACTGAGAGGGAGGCCACAGAAAAAGTGCACTCAGATTTTTGAAGGTCGTAGAGTGAACATCTTAACTATCTCTAGATGCTCAGCCAAAGCCTCAGAAAGAAAACGCAGGAAGATTTTCTATCAGGTGTGCGGAATTCCGGGGAAAAGCTCGGCCCCACCCCACCCCGGCATCCTTTGCGCGGTGCACTCTTCCGGTCGGCCGCAGTCAGCCCGGAGTTGCCATGGAAATCCAGAGGCTCTAGTTATGTCGCTCCAGCGGCCTCCTCCGTCGCGCGTGTTCGTAGAACTGGTTCCTTGGGCTGATCGGGGCCAGGAAAACAATTTGATCACTGGCGGAGAAACGCGGCCCAATGTCTGCCGCCCCTTTTCCTCAACACAGGCCCAAGCCGCGACCCGCGAAGTGCACGTCAGCGGCACTGCGGAGGTGTCTGCTAGTCCTGACCGGGCACAAGTGGCAGTGCGAGTGAGCAGCACCAAGGAGGCAGCGTCGGAGGCTAAGAAGAGTGTTGGCCGTCGCCTAGACTACATCATGCAGTGTCTCCAGCAGCAGGGATTGCAGGTGAGAGTTCAGCAGAGCGGAAACTTCCAGCCTCACGGCACAAAGGGATGGGTGGATGGTTGGGCCCTGACAGAACACTGGTGGGGATGCGGGTGTGGAGATTCTTGGGCGTTTGGAAAGCCTTCGATGCATCATATTTGAAGGCACCACGACCTAGCCAAGTGAATCTTTTTGACCTTTTCATGTTCTAGATGAAAGCAATTCTTGGCCTCAGTAAACTTGCCAAAAAAAAAAATGCAGATTGGGTAGGTTTTTATCTGGTGATTTGTTTTTACATTTGATGAAATGTTAAAACTTGCAATCTTAGATGTAAATACTTGGCTAAGTAGAAAGCTGGGCCCTAAGTTTGCTTTTCTTTTTCTTCCCCCGCCCCCCTTTTTTCTTTTTTGTCATTTTTACTTTATCATGGAACTGGCAAATAAGACGTGACCTGCTTCCTCCGAAGCATGTTAAAGTTTTGTAATGTGTGGTTCTTCAGTATTTTTTTTTTGTAAACAGTATTGCAGGGGGTGAAAAGGTAGCACCCATTTTAAGTTTATAAAAACTCCCTCCAAAATTCTTCAACATTCTTAGTTTTAACTTTTTTTTATAGAACAGTTAAACCGGTGTATTGTGGAAGTGACATATGTGAAATACCTCTACTTAACAGAGATGCCCATGAGACAAATCACCTAATAAATCTTGCCTTAAAGCCCACTCCTAAGAAAAAAATGAGCCAGCTTTATTTTATCCATACAACAACCCTGTTAATCATGTTTTAATATCCCCATTTTCTAGATTAAATGAAGGTAAGTAATGCTCTGAACTTTAGCATAGCAGTATTTGAACTTCTGTGTTCTGAAATCAAAATCTAAGTTGCATCCAACTATCCCAGGCTCCAGATAATTAGAATGAAAGAAAATCGGAAACCATAGACATCAACTGTTTCAGCTTCATTATTTTACAAAGTACTTGGATTCTAAAGAACAAAGATCTTACTTTATGCAGAGTAACATTGAGTTTGTAAAAGTGCAGTCATTCTTGCTTCCAGTCTATTGCTAGAAATACCATAACCCTGAAAAGCAAGTCTGTATTTTAATAAGGAAAATATGGTTATATTGCATTTACAAAAATAAGAGTTATTAAGTCATTTAGGAAAAAATTCTCAAAAGAGATTTATGATTTAGAAGAATTCAAATGCTAATTCTAAATAATGTGAATAAAATGGGCTTACTATATAGAAAAATGTTTCTTAAAAACCTGCTGTCAGTGCCATAATCTTGTTTGAATTAAGTCATTTACATAAAATATAAACTGGGCCCATGTGTCTCTAACTTCTAATATGTAAAACAAAATAAATTACTAAGTCTAGTTTAGAGTAATTACGTTAAGATTCAATGTTTAAGACAAGACAAAGGATAGTAATCTCCCAAATTATCTCTGTTAATGAAGGAAGGCAATCATGTAGATGATTTGTTCAATAAATAATAAATTAAAATTATTTATATTACTTTTCAGGATGAATTACTTGCATTCATAAAGTCCTTATTCATTTTAAACTTGAGAATATTGGGTTGTAAGTTTTATAAATATCATACCCCTACTTAAAAGGCTCCTCATACTTTTAAACTCTTTTGCTTAATATATGGAACTTAACTCTCTTCATTTCCTGTCATCTTTCTCTCCTCTCTTTGTCTAGCTAACTTTTTCCCCTCTTTCCCCAGGCCAAGCACACCTTTTGGCATTCCTTTCCCAGTATAACACAAGTCTCTATTATATGATACTCTACTCCTTAATAAAATATATCACCCTGTGTAACTCTTGATTTACTTGTCTGTATATATTAAACCTCCCCAAAGCAAAGGGCTTTTTTGCATTCATGAGTTGTGTTCATGTGCACCACATAGGTATACATAGTCAAGGGGCAAGGCAGTTTACTGGAGCCTCTTTTATAAGGGCAATTTGTTGAAGAGTCACAAATAAAACAGACTAATATAAGTATGTATGTAATAGAGTAAGAAAGAAAACAATGTTCATTGTACTTGAGGAGTTTCAGTAAGATCTCATAAAAGAAGTGACACTTCTGTCAAATATTAAACAATAATTGAAGGGAAAGCTTTCCTGTTCCTCATTAGAACTCAGCAAACATATATGTTCTGAGCACTATAAGCAGTTCAGAATGGCTAGGACACAGAAGACCTGGGGGACATAAAGGAGAATCAGAGGTAAGATTGATGAAGAAAGCTAGAGGCAGAACATGGAGGAAACTTTGTGTGCCCTACTGAAGAGTTTAGATATTATTAATTATTATTGCTGGGCCTTTTACAAATGCTATTTCATTTAGTATTCCTACCCTATAAAATTAGTACTAAAATTGCTGTTTTACAGATGAGAACTCTCAGGACCAGAGCAATTGTTCACATCTGGGAAGTGGCAGAGTTTAAACTCCAAGAACTTTGATCTCAAAGCCCATGCTCTTGACTACTAAAGTATGTTGCTACTTTATTCTGTTGGCAGTGGGTGATTGAGCAGATGATACTGATCACCCCCACATTTATCTGTTGGCATTTCACATTTGTCTGTTGGCATTTCACATTTGTATGCATGCAGGCCCAACTTCTGTCTGCCAACATATGTGAATTATTTGCCTGAAAATGAAAGTTTTCCCTGGCTACCAGAATTTATTCTGCCTGCATGTGAGGCCAGACAATAATGCTTGGAAATTAATTCCTAACCCCTCATCCTAACAGCCTTCAATTGAAGGCTTAAATGAAACTGGAATGACTGAGGAGACCCCAGCTTCCTTACTCCTTGAGTAGAAAAACTTGGAGGCATGTGTTCTACCCCAGTTGCAGGGTTTTTCTATAGGATTAAATTTGAGTTACCCATAGTAGTAATTTCCTTGACAATGGCTTATTTTCCTTCTCTCTCTTCCCACTCTGGTGTTCTATGGGATCGTATTCAAAATCACCTATACTCAAATCTTTGTCCCAGAATCTGGTCCTGGAGTCACCCAATTTAAGACAGAGAATAATGGAACAGATAGAACATATATATTAACAGTAGTTTTTAATTATTAAGAATGGTAAAAAAATGATGTACTTATAGCTAAATATTTATATAAATCCTTAATTAATGTTCTTTGGACATTAACTGCTATATATATATATATATATATAGTGTATATTTATATATATATTTGATATATATATATATAATCTGTATATATCTATATGGAATATATATACTTGAAGGTTGATGAAAAATTACACTCTAGGAAAATAAGTTATACCACAACCTTGCATGGCAGGCAGTATTTTGTTTCTTAATTTTGTTCATTCAGTAAGTCTAAAAAATTATTCTGTTACTTTTTTTTAACATTTGAAGTTAAACTTTTTTCATATTAGTTTCCAGGTACTTTCCTATTTTTCCATTGTTTTTTCTTGGTTAGTTTAGAAGAACCTTAAAATTATGATTGTTCAGAGTTTATGTCTATCATATATTGCAAAAGTTTTCTCCCAGTTTCTTATTTATCATATAATTTAGCTTATACTTGTGAATATTCAAAATTTTGAATTTTTATTTACCCAAATTCATTCATCTTTTCTGTATGTTTTCCGCTTTCAATGTAATGCTTATTGGGTCCTTCCTAAGCGTGATGTCATATAGCCATTAACTGATATGTCTGAAATATTAAGGGACCCTTGAAAATGCATTAAATGTTATGTTTTATTTTTACCTTGGTATAAGAATAAGAGTTTTGTAAATAACTGTACTGAGACAAAGTATTGAATTCTGTCATTCCCTTATTGTATTTGCAGGAACCTATCTTAAACTGCCTTTACTAATAAAAAAATATTTCTTTACCTAACTGAAAAGTTGTAATATGAGTAATCAAGTATAATATGGTCAAGACTCTATTTTGATGTAGTTCCCTTGGCTTCATCTGCATCTTCCTGCATGATACAAAATGACTGCAACAATCTGAAGCCTTACATCAAATACTATATCTTAAAAAGACAATTGTGCTTATTAATGTATCCATGTTAAAAAAAAAAAAAAACCTGCAATTCACTCTAACTGGATAATTTAAACTTGTCTTTGTGGCCAGGGAAATGCAGTAGACCAGTTTAGATTGGATATCTGTCCATCTTTTAACCTAATCCTGGGGCAAGTCAGACATGATATCAAGGCAATAAAGACTTATGGGGGTGTCTCTGAATCATAGGACTTCTGCTCTGAAAGAGTAGGGAAAAATATACGATATGAGGATTCCATATTGCCTTTTTTGCCTGTTGCTTTAAAATGTTCCAGATTATTGTTTTTTTGCAGTCTTCAGATGTTCTGGAATTGGGTTATATTAGTAGCACACTATTTAAATTATTAACATCTTTATAAAATCTTTGAGGGAGAATTCTGACCTCGTTATTGTTCCCCTGAAATGATTTCCTATCTGCAAGGAGTGGTACATGTTAAATGGCAAAATGGGAATACAATCAGAAATTCCAGATAGTGGGAAATCCTATAGGACAAATAAGACTTCTCTGTTCATATTTTACATTATATTTATATGTTCATTTTAGGATAATTGCCGATTTTGCAGTATTGTGTCCTAGTCCATTTATTCAGTTATTTTTTCTGTAAAGTTTTATGGTTTTCTTCATGTTTGCCTTTTTATGAAAACAACTGGCTATTAATGTTATTCTCATATTGACCAATTCATTGTATTTATATATAAAAGTGCTTAATTGGGAAAACGTAATGAATTATGCTTGTATAATTCAATATTTTTTAGGCTTACCTGGTATTGGCATGGTTTCTCAATATTGGCACTGTTAACATTTTGTATCATCTAATTCTTTGTCATCCGGGGCTATGCATTGATGTTCAGCAACATTCCTGGCCCATAACCATAGGGTAACCAAAATGTGCCTATTTACTTTAAACTGATTTTCTCATGTCTTAGGAACCTCCTCACTTCCAGACTAACGGGAACACTTGGTCACTTTGTCTATCTACTA